CGTCTTCAGAGATGCAGGCAAGTAAATACTGGACAGCTTACATAGAATTCTCTCTTCTAATATTTCAGACACATCTATATCAGATAAGTAAGAAGTGATAATTTCTTTCTTAATTTCAGGCTCCATCCACAATCTTATTGCGATGGATACTGCTGAAATGTGCTGCAGGGAAGGAGGTTCGGAAAAATAGTTTACAAAATCATCATCTTGAGTTGAATCCATTTTCAAAGTCTTGCTAACTGTGTCTCCGTGTCTCTTTCTTTTTCCACTATGGTCCTCCCCTGCAAGACACAAATTTTTCATCATATATTCAACTGATAATTTTTTTTTTGTATCAAAAGTAGAATACTTTTTCTTGAAAATATAAAATGGCAAATACATTTCATTATTTCATTGGAGAAAGATGTACAGTACAGAGAACAAAACAATTTTACTTCATCAATCTCAACTGAAATAAATTACTAAAATTCACAAAAGCTCTCTTACAGTTAAATCTGTCCATCTTGAAATTTAAAAAATTCCCTATATTTATAATTTAAGTAGGCAGGTAGGTCATATTTATCTTGAAAAAATTTCTATCAATAACTTCGCACCTCAAATTTTGAAAGATAGTGTAAATTACAGAAATTAACAGTGAAAGACCAATCATTTCCAACAACAGAAGTTGAAAGGGAAAAAAATGGAGATTGATTACTATTGTCTAAATGGTGATTGCTCACTATTGCCATGTCCCAGATCTATGGAGTATAGAATAAGCGATGGGGTTATTGACAAAACCATCAAAAGTCTATTTTTACTGTTGTATTAGCAGTATACTAGATATATATGCATGTTACAAAAAAGTTATCAATGTATAAATTAAATTAATCTGCTATAATACCAGAGATCCAAAAATCTTAAAATGCTTATACAAGGTGCGTAGTCAAATTTTTCAACAATAAATAAGCACCTTTTAAGCACAAATTTTTTTTTTTTAAGCACTTTAAAAAATATATAATTAGTCAGAGTTGGCAAGTTTTTGATAATTGACGGTTTTATCCGGTTTTAACCACCGTGTCAAAAACAAAACTTTTGACAATTGTCAAAAATTATGAAATATTGACTCATTTAAAACGAATGGCGTTTTCATACGCTACGGACCCGCGGTACGTCGAAATAGATTGGGGTTGAATTATTGTGAAAACGTTGAAAAGAATAATGTGAACAATGTCTTTTTGCACAAAACATGGCAAAAATTAACATGGAAAAGGGAAAATTAAGCACCTATTTAAAACACCCAGTGAAAAAAAGCACCTTTAAGGACTTTCAAAAAACAAAAATCGAAAAAAGCACCTTTAAGCACTTTTTAAAAACGCTACGCAGCCTGTTATATTTTTTGCTAAGCATGTGAGTTAATTGGGCATATTGGCATACCAGTTCATGTCTGGATCTCAGTGTTTTCATCTCAGAAAAAAAATGGGTGAGAATTTCTCACCCTTTCTCAAAAACAGGGTGAGATTTCAAAAAGTTAAGTGAGATTTCAAAAATTAAAAAAAAAAACACGTAAAGAGACTTGAAAAAAAATAAAATTTCTTTAATTATGATGCATTTTTAACATCTTCTAATTTTTAAAGCATTGAATATTTTTGCTGCATCATCCTATGGAAAATGTTCTACATCTACTTTTTCATCAGCTATTCTCATTAGGTTGCTCAAATGCGTATTTGTTTCGTTTTGATCGCTTCTACCCACATTTGTTTCATTTTCATTTGTCCGTTTCGGAGTAGAAGATATTGGCTTTACAAGGTATTTGTCCATCTTACATTAACGAGCAAAAAATTTGAACATCTTACATGAAGAAACCTTACCTACGGTAAACACCTGGTTACAGAGAAATGCGTTCTGAAAGAGGTTCCGTGGTTCAGAAGGATGGTGTTCTGTTGTTCTTAAAGGTTCTGAACAATACTGGTAAATAGGGAAGTTAGATAATGGGGCAGATGTTGAAAATAATAAAACGTCCAGGAAGAAAAGTGAAACGGATTTTATTCTAAATGGCGCAAATGAGAAATCTTTTTCAAGATGCGTGAAATTCGCAAATTTTGAAATTGGTTTATAGAATGCGCAAATTTCTCGCAATAATAATTTTTTAATGCGAGAATATAAGAAAATATGCGAGATTCTCACATTCTCGCGCTGTAGTGAAAACACTGGGACTCATAAGGCTAAAACTGAACAGCCAAACATTAAGTACAAATCATTCTTTAAAAAAATATTTTCTGTAGAAAAAATTAAACTAAAAAATTAATAGCGAAATATAAATTTTTTTTTTCTGAATTGCTTTATAATAAAATACAGTAATTGCATTATTTTTATTTATTTAAACTTAAAAATGCATTTTTAAAGAGTAATAGATTATTATAAGAAGCCTTTTATCGTTCAAAACATAATCATTCTTACAACACACAATTATTAATTGATTTTTTGAAAAATTCAAATTTTGAAGCTTATACTATTCGATTTCGCATAACTAAACATTACATAGTTTATAATAATCAATACCACATTATAAGATTTCAAATGACATATCAAACTATAGCTGTGAAATAAAAATCTTAATTTTTCCTAACTGGAACTCATCAAAAATAAGAACTACACCATCTTTATGCAGTATTATTTATAAATATTTGTCGATTATAAAAATACATTTATTACCATTGCACCACACAAATTTAATTCACTGTAGAACATTACTGACAATAATAATTTGAACAATAGCAAAGGACATGAATGTCACACTTTCTAGAGACTAGCCTAAAAATACAGTAGTACATTAAAAATCCGTTTTATAAAAAGGGTAAAAGAAATTAAAAACTAGATATTAAAAACTAATTACTATTAAAACTGACACTACTCAAAATTATGAATAAAGTTTATTTACTGAATTAGTTACCACAGTAGGTATTTAAGTAATTGATACAAAAAATATTAATTAAAAAATTTTTAAACCTTTTGCTAAAAAAATTTTTTTTTAGTCCTGAAATTTAATAAGGAGTAATAAGTTTCCTTAGAATTAGATTAGCTCAAAATTAGATTTTATTTTTAGAAACTAGAAAAGATTTAGTTAAAAATCAGGTTTAATTAAAAAAGAACCATTGTCTCTATGAATCTAGCAGGTTCATTGAAGGAAAAAAAAAGAATTTGAAAATAGGCATCATCTCATTTAAAAATGATAAATGTAACTTTTAAGTTATTAACTTTTTTAGATTCAAAGTAAGATACAGTAGGGAACCGATTATCCGGAACGATCGGGACCATCGCTATTCCGGATAACTGATTTTTCCGGTTTTCTAAATCGCTATGAAAAGCCGTTTTTTTATTGTTAAACCCAACTGAAAAAAAAATATATATTTGGAAATAATCTTAAAAAGAAGAAAAAACGATGAAGTAATACACTAATGATTACTTCCAAAATGATGGCAAGGTAAACATCGTTCAAAAAAGAAAGAAAAATCCTAAAATCTTATGAGGTAAAAAAAATTTTTTTTTTTAAAAATGGGGGGAAAATGTATCGAATTTCGATCCGGTTTTTTGAATTCCGGATAACGGGTTCTGTACTGTATTAAACTAAAGTTTATAGTAAAATTTATTTATTTTATTAAACATGAGCAGCAGTAAAACAGTAACTATCATAATAATTAAATTTTAATTTATGTAACTCCTGAATGACATTTATAAGCTTTCAGCTAATGCTTTATAATTCATTAGTTATTTGGGTATCAGATGGGATTTGTGTTAACCACTATTTCAGAAAACCATATTTAAGTGGGACAATGTTGCAGCCCTGGTAAGAAGGACAGATAGTACAGAAAGAGAAGAAGGGAAGAATTCAATGCCACTAGCAGAGATTCAAACTGGGGGCCTTTCTGGCATGAGGTCAGCTCCCTGACCACCATATAGGTTTTAGATAATAACTAAATTTTTTATAAATGAAATCAGGGTTCGTTGATTTAAATCAGCTTGATTTAAATCATGATTAAAATCAAATGATTTTTTTAAAAAAATCATTGATTTAAATCAACTGATTTTTATATATATATTATATTGATTTTAAAAGTTAAAAAACAGTGCTTTAAATTATTGATACTTTTATTATTTATTTTCTTAGTTTTAAAATTTAT